AAGTAATCCAGATGGTTAACAAAAACTTTCAAATATACTACCATCCCATTTTTGCAAGCTGCTGTGGGAATTTATCAATTGAAATACTATTTGAAGTAACAAATGTTCATAATTTGGCCTCCACCGACATTGTATTTTATTGTATATTAAACAAATGACAAACTGGGATTGAGTTTCTGTAAAGGTCACTGAAAAGACATACATTTTCTCAAGATGATGTAAATATATCCATACAATTCTATGTCATAAAACACTAAAGTCTTTATCTGTACTACCTTTCTGAATATTTCTGCCCTCATCATCCAAAATTTGCAGATAATTTCAGAAAATATCCATCTAATGCTTTTGAAATACTGCCGCTACAGTAACATAAACAGTCCAACTCATTTTCTTGAGGTTCATTTGACTCTGTAATGAGTCTATTTTATTCTTCTCCTGACTGATTACAAATCTTTTGTCTTGACACATATAATTATTTAATGAACGCAGCGACAGAATAAATGACACGTCTTTTGTTATTATTCTGAGCATCTTGACAAGCAAGGCCCGCTGAGTGACCTCCTGGCCTCTCTCAAGAGCGATGATTACACTAATTAAAACGGCAAAACATCTGCGAGGGCCGCGGAATTAAGGGGGTCGTTAAATCAGCGGAGGAAAATATCAACATCCTCGCAGACAGCTCCTCTTTTCCTGTCTTACAGTGAAATGAATGCTAGCAGTGCCTGGTCACACACGAACACAACAAAATGTTTAATTGGTTCCAAGCTAAATTGTATTCATCTCCCAAATGGATTGGTGTTAATCACACTGTTCGACATGCTAAACACAGCTTATCTAGGGAATCTCGGCTGTGATTTTGTCCTCAAGGTTCCACTTGTTGTATTTCTGTTTACATGCTCTTTTCCTCAAGTGAGGCAGGTTTCTAGTGAAGAGGGATTACCATATCCGTATGTCTCCTTCACGGCAAAAACCTGGATTTCAATGCACCGTAGCCACGTTCAAGCATCTAATAGGATTGGTGTCTCAGATTTTTTTATGTTATTCTTTTCCTAACAATAACCATTTCCCCCCTTAAGTGTTTCAACATGTGCATCAAGAGTTTTCCTCTGCGCTTCACAACAAATCAACACGGGTCAAGGTGCAAGACTGGCCTGCAGTTAAAAAACGCTGCACAAGCTGCAAAACTACAAGACGTCAACAAGCGAATTGTCCTGCTTTAGATGCTACAAACGCACAGCTCAAGGCTTTGTGCCATGTTCAAAGAGATTAATAGACTGAGATGCTTTTGATAGGGAACCGAGCCGTCAAGCCACCCCTCTAAGCGGAAGGATGGTCATGTTCTCTCAAAGCCGGTCTCGAGCATTTCCTCATGGTGAAATGGTTTATGTATGCTGCTCGACACTAGCTTCTCAGCAGATGCATGTTCCTTCCGGACTCCTGGAAGACATGGGATTACTGTAAATGATGTACAGGTTATTTTCAAAAGGCTGAGGAGTGTGGTGCAAGTTTTGCTCACACAAATCATTGCTCGGTTTTTACTGGAACAAATGATTTCATGTGCCATATTTCAATATTTTTGCCATTGGTTTTAAATGACCAAAAGGATGCAAGGTACTGTACCACGAGAATACTGGACGGCTTAATAGATTCTACTTACTTCATCCCATTGCTGAGCAACTGTGGTGGACACAAATTTACATTAAAACGTAAGAAACCTAAAGAAAATGCTAGATACACAGATTTAAGAAAAAAACAAGTAATTTTTTTCTGAATTTTGAATGAGAGTTCACAGTCTGTATTGAATGTCATGCAATAAAGACTGTGAATCATCACGGGGGAAAACTCACAAACTGCACACAAAAATGTTGTTCTGATACACAAACATGACTCTTATGAATTGGTTCTTTTTGTTGACTCAAAAACATACAGCTCAATCAACGTAGCGTGATTACCAAAACATTTTTTTTTCTATGAGCCTATTTTTATGATACTTTTAATTAATATCTAAAAAAGACAAGTTCCGCTTTGAATTAGTCTGGCAAATCCATCACTGAACTGAATCCAGCAGTTATTGAATCAGCATCACTTACTGAACAAGTTATTATTTTCAGTCATATCAGTGAATGAATAAACTATTCATACTCTTATATACAATATATATTCACTACCGTTCAAAATATTGTGGCCCTTTCAATGTTTTTGAAAGGTCTCTTATGTTCACCAAGGCTGTATTTATTTTATTAAAAATATAGCAAAAGCAGTAATATTGAGAAAAATTATTACAATTTAAAATAACTTTCAAGAAGTAGTGTATAAATATATATGGATATTATCTCCCCTGCTGCAACAAAAAGTTCACAAATTCTGTAGGAAACTATATAGGGTCACTTATTATATAGTATAATTTGTATTTGCATTAACTTTAAACATCACTTACCACTTCAAGACAAAAACGGACTGACTGTGTGTTTTATACCTAATAATTATAAGTGTCTCTGGCAAACCTCACAACACTGTTGGAAACATTCTTCAGGCTGTTGCGCAATGCAACAATAAAAATATTTTGCTCTAGCCTTTGTGTTGTAAATGTGAGTGAATTTCAGTCCAGTGATGCAAGGCCTGGAATTCTGGAATGGTGAAAAGATGTAATCTTTCAGCAGAGGAGACATTCAGTGTGAAGACTTCTGCAAGATGAGTGTAATTAGCACCTCACAGGTGATGACATGTGCCCTCCTTAAAGACAAAAAGACCGAGATGACTAATGGTAGACTGATGCGGTTTAGCCTTGGACATGTTCTAAACACATTCTGAGATGTTTGTGATATGTGGAAGCATGAGTTATTGAAATATGCATAAATCAAGGCAAGTTTCACAAAAAAATACTGTAATGCTTTACAGAGCTATCTGATTACAGAATCCCAATTTTAAATAGATAATTACCAGATATAAATGGTACGGAATGTTCATGTACTGAAGACTAACTACATCTGAATATGTAGCATACACTATGATTAAAAGGTTCGGGGCATTTTATTGCTCACTAATTTATTTGATCAGAAATAAAGTAAAACAGTAATATTGTGAAATATAATTACAATTTATAATACCCTTTTTCTTTTGTATTATTTTCTGTGAATGCAACCCTGAATTTTCAGCAGCCATTACTATAGTCCTCAGTGTCACATGATCCTTCTGAAAAAAAGACAAGAAAAAAAAACAACAACAAATGTTCGTGGGAATGAAAATTAAGCAATGAAAATTTAAGTTCAAATAAACAACATTTAAAACAAAACCTTTTTGTAACCAAGTAAAAAAAATTTTTTATCAATGTTTGTCAAACAACATTATTCATCGTTGGGTTCTTCATCAAATTCAGTACATAGTCCGAAAGTTTAGATGTAATTTTTTCCTTGGAGAATTTCAGTCTTTGCAATCATTAAATATCTAACAGAACTTAAGAATGTTTTTATTTATTTATTTTTTCAATGTAAATTTTGCAATGTATTCAGATCTAGATTCTTCAGAATAAATTCTAAAAGACTTTAAGGTTTTTATCAGAAAGAATCATTGGAAACACTGGCCTGCAAACTTCTAACACTGTGTCTACACTAAACGTTACCATTTTTGCATTACACCGCAACAGCTAGAAGTGATCTACACTGGACGCAGCAAATCCATTTGTCCTCCATGTCAGAAGTAGCGCAGGCACTTGGAGAACATCAGAAACAGAACGAGGCATCAGTTTACTGTCAGGGATTTGTCGTGTTGTATCGTCTCGTGCCGCACCACATCCAGTATCGAGAGAATCACTGATTATAATGGGTTCTACTGTCTTTTAGATCATTGCATCCGCTGTAGACACGGTATAAGACTTCACATACTAGTGATCAACCACAATTTGACTGATATACTAAAGAAGGCATTTACAATAGAGCGGTGCTTTACTTTCAGTGAGATGTCTCCGTGGTAACTGGCAGGGTTGAAACCACACACCTTGCCTTGAGGCAGCACTGACAAGTTTGTGCTACAGTTGTCAGTTGGCTGTTGTCAGGGTGGGTATGTCAAAGCCCTAAAATTACAGATGTCACCGCCTCAGGCCAGCAGAGCATAAATCAAGTGAGTGAGTTTCCACATTCCCGCTAATGACCTCACGAGACAGAGCCGTGGAGGTGGGAGGGATGTTTAAAAAGGAAGGTGCTAGGCATAAAGAATCATCCTGCTAAAAATAAATAATTCTACAAATTTTGTCATTATTTATTTACCCTCATCATGTGTTTTCTGTTATTTTCAACACAAGGAAAGCCAATAACAAATCCTCAGAAGTTTTGGAAAAATGGAAAATATGGATATGGATTACTTCTATTATGTTTCACTGGTGTTTTGTTGTGCATTTTTGGAGCTTGACTGCCCCTGGTGCCAATTCACTTTCATTTTATGGAAATGAGCAACATTAACATTTTTTAAAGCTTCTTCTTTTGAGTTCCTTGGAGGAAAGAAAATCATACAGGTTTGGAACAAATATAATAGCAGATTTAGGATTTTTTTTTTTTTAAAGAACTATTACTTTAAAGTAATTATACCAATAGAATAATATCTATACATTCTATACAGAAATAAATACATTTCATATTTGGAAAGTGCAGTCAGCTGAATCTTATCTAACAGACAGGCTTATAAAAATGTGCACTGTTCACTGTCCTCTCAAAGATGCATCATGTGTTGAGTCCAGTGTCATACACACCGTCCCTCACACACAGTCATCTTACACTCGAACCCGACTAAACTCCTCGTTTATGACTGCTCAAACCTCCTTACAGCCTACAAATTTCATTTTGCCCAGGCAAATCCTATTGCATATTATCCTGTACATTGCATTAGGCCCCTAATCTCTCCTTTCTCTTCTCTCGTTCCATACCTCCGTGGAAGAAAATAAGCGGCTCCTGATTAACCCACTTACGGCAGTAAATAAATGGCGTGCACAGCTGTATGCGCCAGATTGAATTATGAGGGAAAAAAAATGAAAATACATACAATAACGACCAATCTAACAATAATGGTATGCTTATGGAATTTATTTAGCTACATAAAAAAATGACCCACAAATCTGAACGATTGACCAAAAAACTGATTCAGAAAGAAATAAAATGTTAAATGACAAAACAGGAAATTTGAATGCAATAATACTGTATTATAAAAAGATTACCTCTATAAACAATTATCAACATGCCAAATCTTTACTCATCAACTGCAGTGAATGTCACATGAATCCCATATTGCTTTTGGTTTCCCATCTTTTCTTTGCTTCAAACCTAAAATTACACACACACAAAAAAAATGCAGTGAATGTGACAAATTTGACTCAAAATTATCGGGAATTTTAGAAAAAACATAAAAGCAATACAAAGAAAAATAAATCAAAGCAGAAATACAGATTTGTTTGGATAAATATGGTTGCATATAATTGCAGGCAATGCAAAAACTGAATTGAAAAGTATAATCTTAGCTATAAGCGCACAATGGGCATTCAGAGACCCTCTGAAGGGACTGACTGACCAAAAAGATAAGCAGCATCCACATACTCATTAGAAAGCTCTAGTGAACACACATGAGTTAACACACAGCAGCATGTCCAGGAAAGAGGGGACATTTAAAGTGTGAAATGCAGAGTGACTTAATGAAACTGCAGGGTATCAGCACCAGGGACGAACAGAAAAAAGAAAAGACCACAAACCCCCAAGCGATTTGCTTCCTCCTTTTTCGGGCTGCCCTGGAAGCCTCCGCTTCCTGTTTGGTGCGGGTGAAGTCACGGCAATCGGCGGCTTGTGCGATTTTCACGGCCAGCTATTGAGAAGGAGACAGAGACAAGCTCTATTAGCAGGAGAAAATCAGTCTGCCTGGCAAACCTCACCAGTCCTGCCAGTGCGTCAAGGTGGTGCTCGAAGAATGCCTCCGATTCATATCTTCATCACTGATGGACACGCACATGCTTGAGTTTAAAAAAAAAAAAAAAAGAATTTGCGGTTCATAGATAGAAGTAGGACAGCCAACCCTCTGTTTCACCACTCAGCATGGATGTGCATAATTAATGTTATTATCTCATATACTTAATCTGTTCATCTAAAGTGGACTTTTAATTCTGAAAATTGCAGTGCACGCACTTAGGATGGCTAAATGAATGGAGGAGGGCGAGAGGCGCATGTCGGCGGTATTAGTGAGGGGAAATGTGTGTGGTGTGGCTAGATTAATTCGAATAGTCAGAGTGACACAGAGGGCTCAGGAAACAAAAGAGGAGTCCGGGCCTTTTCCATCACTCCCGGGATGGGTTTATTATTGGACCGCAAGAAACTTTGATAAACACTCGGACAAATCGTAAACCCTTTTTTTCCCTTTTTTTTTTACCCACTGCTTTGCTCTCGCCTCCACTGTATTTTTTTTTTTCGGGAGGGGATAGGAGGGTAATTCTTTAGAACAGTGAAAGAACACAATCAGAGGGAACACACAAAAAACTCAGTTGGTAATGAGGAAATGTGCCACCATTTGTAGGCTCAAAAAACCTGGAGAGAGCAAGAGAGTGGAAAAAAAAAATTTCAATTATAATTAAGTGGGATAAACTTTATTAGAAAGACTGAAACTAAAATATCTCCTAATGCATTCTGGGATTAGGCAGGTCAGAGCGAGCAGGAAGGAGAAATTAAACTCTAAAGGCCTTTTATCGCCATATTTCAGGAACCAAGGGTGTAAAATGTTCTAATTTGGGATACATTAAAAGCCATAAAGGTCTTTCAAAAAGATTAATGGTACTTTGCTTGGATTTAAGATAAGGCCTTTAGCAGGCTGAGAGAGCGGGGTTCCGGCTGGGACCTCGAGGCATTCATCTATACAGGCACTTGGAAGATTTGTAAAGGCGTCTGCATAACCTGAAGCTAACACACTATGACAGTTTTTTTAAATCCTTGCCATTTTTTTAGAGGTTTTAAGAGCCATAAATCATGTTTTCTAGCAAGTCAGCGCAGAGAGGGAAATTATAACGGGTGATCATGCCCATGTTTAGCACAGATCCGCTCGCAGATAATTCACACCAGGGTGTTTTTGGAGAGGCGCGTTTAAGCAGAATAGGTGCTAAAGCTATCGCGAGCAGAAAAGCGTGCCCAGATCGCAAACAAGCTTTATAAAAAAAAAAATATATATAATAATGTCATGGGTAAAAAGCAGCATTTCGAGACAACAAAACATGATTTTTTTTTTTGCTGTCAGGAGGTTTAAATCTTGAGATTTATCTGCGTTTTTGACACAAGGATTACCCACATCCACTCCAGCTTTAACCAAATTTTGCCCCCACCACCAAAATAAAGCCCCCCTTCGCTCTTCCAGCCGGGACACCCCAATTTTCACACACATTACTATATTCAAAGCATTAAAGGTCTTAATTTTTTTAATCAGTCCAGTCTACTATCCACGATTGTCTTTACTGGGGCTCAACATTAATGTCAAGCAAGTTACCTAGGAGACAGAACAGATCAAAGAGACAAAAAAGAAAAAAAGCTCTCAAATGTCTGATTAATCAAGCCTTGCAAACAGCTTATTTCTTTTAGCCTGCATGCAAGTATGAAAATGAGATTCAGAGCGCAGTACATTGTGCAGATTTGTTCATTCTTATCAGAACAAAGCCGGCGGCAGCTTATTTCATGGATCACTGGCACTGTCATCAGTGTAGCGCAGAGCAGGTGACAGCACTTCTTTCTGTGGCAAGAACAAAATTAGCAAAAAGTCGGCACAAATTAGCCTCTCATATTTTCAGTAATATGACATTATTTTTCATTTACTTTTTTGATCCACTTTTCCTGATATTCCCTCCTTTTTCATCCTTATCCCCCCTCCTTTTCCCTCTCTTGTGACTTAGTGCCAAATCCTTTCACATCAAAAGCGGGCACAGAGAAAAAAGGAATGAAAATCACAATCCAAAAAAGAAAAAAAAAGTGGGCTGGGGGGAGATAACATACACAACAAAAAGTGCTTGTGCTCTTTGTTCTAGGTAGTCACACTAAACCTTCCCATATTTCCGTAAGAATTACATTCAGTGCATTTCCATTGTCATTTACCTCTCTTCTCTCCTCTTTATAGGTATTGTGTGCCATTTACACCAGTACTTGGCAAAGCCTTATTCAGTGCTGGGTTTATTTAGCACCATTAATGACATGACCTTTGAAAGGTCCGTGAGAGATGAATTCATTCTGCTCAGCACTGTAACTGCAACTTGGGGCCACTAGGTGGGTTAAGTCAACAGTGGTGCAGAACCCACTTGCTAATGTATAGTAAGTAGATCCTCGACTGCCACAGCAAATGCTGTAAAGTAGCTTAAAAGCAAATTAACGTGCATTATAAGCATTCTGCATACATTTACAATGCTAGACTGTTACCTGATTTCAAAGCGCTGTTCATTCCTTATAATTTTGTCATTTTTGAGCCTTCCACAAATATATGAAAACAACAGTTGCAAACTATATGACAATAACGGCTTGCAAACTCAGAGCAGACAAAGCTTTGAAATAATTAATATATATTTTTTATAACTTAAAAAATAGCTTTGAAATAAAAAAGGGAAAAAAATCCAGTGATTTACTTGCAGCTGTTTAAAATAGGTTTTAAATCAATTCTGGAGCCTGCTTTTATAACCCAGGCTGTCTCACTCACACACACATACTGAAAAAGCAAGGGTTGCAAACAGTTGTATACTAGCTTATACATTAGTTACACATAACATTCACTCTGTAAAATAAGTGAAACACAAACACGCCTTAATGCCAATATAACATGTAAGACTGGAATCAGTATCCAGTTAAGGTTGTTTATGTGTGGTTCGTACTTACACTACTTTCTAAATGCTACTAGCTAACATTTAAATTTCCCTTTACAAAATTCATAAGATGTGGACATGACAAATTTATTAATTCAAGTTAAGTTTAACAGTGTAACAATACAAATCTGGTTGAAAACTCTTATCTGTAGTATAAGTAAATTTACAATGTGTATTATTTCTCTGTGTTGCCTGTACCAAGATACACCTGTTTATTTGTCAGCAAAAGACGTCAAATGCATCATCTGCTGGACAGATCGTACTTTCACATTTTTGTATCCCAGATAGTCTGATCGAGCCCCTTGCATTGTGGGTGCTGCAATTAACCTTTTTTCCCCACAGTGCTTTTTCTCGGGTTTCTCTAGTTGCGTAGCACCAATTTACCAAAAAAATATAAAAATAAATACAATTTCACTTACATGAGAATATTACAGAATTACATACATTTTAGGTACATTGTGAACACTTTTTACATTATTGAAAACTAATTACATCTCACATTTTTTTGCACTAGCAGTACCAATAAATCAATAACATCATCATTTTGTTTTACCATGCCAAATGGGTTCAGTTTAAACAGCTTGTAATAATCACGGCTTGCATTAAAACAATGCCAAGGGAAATCTCAAGAAAACCACTGCATTGTCTGAATGAAAAGAAACAGGCCACGCTCCCGTGACAATACCCTGTGTCATCTACACTAAAGCGGAGGAGACGGAATCCTCTCAACAAAAGTGACATATTGAGAGTCCTACGTTTGATACCCTTGTATACAGTGAAAGATCCAGTTAACATAGCTTATCAGTCTCAAGGGGGTGGTGGGGGAAATAAGACAAGAAGTTCCTGTAATCTTGTCACCAACTTGACAAACAGCATTACAAGACATACAGAGAAGCAGCCTCTCTGAGGGGGATCTAGTTGGAAAAGCTCTCGGTATAATGCGCTTCTCTATGTTTCAGCCCCAATAATCTGATTCCAGATACATAAGACTGTCATCTTCAGGGAACAAGGGAGTGGAAAAAAGTCTGAAAGTTCGCTGGCTTTGTGCGCATTTCATTATCTTCCCTCTTCTGAGCAGGCAAGGCTTATTAGCAAGCTTTGAACTCACACTTACAATAATGTGCCATCAACAGTTTTATAAGCTAATTAGAAAAACAGTTTAATTAATGACTGACTGGCAATAAAATGGCAATCAGGAAAAAAAAAAGGAAACGAGGGTGCTAAGCTTCCACTACCACCAATTAAGGGCTAATTACAAACAAATTATATATGTGTTTTGCTGTGGGCTTTAATTCGGAAAAAAATGGCTTTAATTAAAAGAGAAAACATGCTAATTAATTAAACGGCACAAAAAATCTACATTGAAAAGTATGCTTTGTCTATCAAGTAATTAATGAAATACAATAATCCAAATGAGATTCCCCAGCATTTGATAAAAGCTTAGGACCCATTTCAAAATTAATGGGCAAAAATTTAAAGTGAGTCATCTACAGATATAACAAAAGTTCACTCTGTGCTAAATTCCTAATGCTGAAAGAAAATGGAACAAAGAGGAGAGTTTAGCACACAGTTTTCTTGTTGCCAGAGGGGCCCGCACAGGAGGAAGAGCCGGTCTTGCGTTTCTGCACAGATTGGGATTTATTGATGAAGAAAAGGGCTAAAAATACCTAAACATACAGCTTTCTAAATCAGACAAAAAGATGTTAAGATGATTAATAGTTGGGTGAAAAAAATAAATAAATAGACAAACATTATGTTTAATGCAAGACGCCTTAGCAAGCCTATACAAAAGCACACTAACTTCTTTCACAAATGCTGTCAAACCAATGCATTTTAATTGGATTGGTCTCTACCAATGAGTTTGACCTAGCTGCAATAATGGCACTTCAAACAGTATGACACCCCGTAAAGAACACACAAAGGCAAACTTTCAGAGAACCTTGTCATTAGAGATCTGTTCGTAGTTACTGAGACATGCTGTACTTCAAAAGCATATTAGAACAAAACCCCAGCTGATTGGTCAGAGATGAAGGCTGATAAAGGGAATGGCAATGCAACACATTTAATAGGTGTACTAACGGCAATTCTAATGCATTATCTTGGCTGTGACGCAAAAGAAAAGTGAGCATCTAAGTCGCATACTGAAAGGCATATATGTGCCTATGTTAATGAACTCCCGCTCACTCGCCCGACTTTATCTTTTTTGCCCCCTCCAACAACTCCTTTTCAGACCGTGTCTCCGTCTTTTAATCATTTTCATATTGTCTGACTCCTGGATAACTTGAAATGGACGCAGTACCCCCCACCGCTCAAGACGAAAAAGTCTGTGTTTTGAAGTGGTAATGCGGAGCTAATATTTGTGATCAGGGCAGAGAAAAACTGTAGGAAATAATAAAGTGTGACAGTCCTTCGTTTAGTCTTGCTCAGTTAGACTTAGACTGGAGCTCTTGTTATTAAATGTGCTTAGAAGGCTAAATGAAACCCCTTAAAAATAAGTTGGCGCAAGCAATTCATTCTCTACAGGCAAAAGCTGTTCAAAATAAAAAACATCTAAAAAAAAAAAAAAAAACATGAATCTAAAAGTCAGAATAAAAACATTATTAATTTCCAAGCAATCAAAGCGTTGGCATAATCTTTGACTAGTAAACTAAATTATGCTAAAAATTCTAATTATATTATCAAATCATCAAATTATTCATTATCTTAAACATTGGACGATTATTACACTGTTTCTCTTGTATTAAGCTTTTTGTAGTCCCTAAAGCTAAAAGTGGATTTAATGTAAATCTAACACATTTAATAAATATTCAAAAATGTTCAGCAACAGATAGATCTGAACAAATGCACATCTATAAAAAAAAAATTATATATATATATATCGTAAAAGTGCATTAAAGACTTGAAACTCCTCCAACTATGCACATATGCCCTTTGGGACGATATATATATATATATATATATATATATGACAGAACAGCACAAGACAACAATGTACTTCATATTATCATGAAGCCAAACTGTTCCTAGCTTTAAAGGTCAGTTTGCTGAAGTATTTTGAACTGGTACCTGTATCTTTTTTTTTGTTAGAGGATATGCAGGGAAGAATTTGATAATGCTGTATTTAATTCTGATCAATTAAAAAAATTTTACCTTTTACACAAATGCATAAAACACTTTGTGAATCAAAAACCAAAAGAAGAGTTAAACCTTTTACAGAATATTTGAATACTCTTTTATGAAAGGAAAATCTCAAAGGAACCTTTACTATCCACATTTGTGTTTAAACATCCAGACAAAGATAAAAGCCCACATATCACAAACTTTTTAGGATAACTTCAAAGGAGGTTTTAACAAATTTGCAGATTAAAGGAAACAGGGAAAATATTATATGATTAAACAAGCTGCACAAATAATTCCTCTACATATAAACGTTTCCAAACAGGAGATTTTTATATATAAAGCATAAAAACGTTTGAGTTGAGAGAAAAAGAAAAAAAAGATTTATTCCAGAGGATAAATAGGTTATGACCAATAAAATACTTCAAGCACAGGCATAATTTATAAAGATCATTCTCGAGGACAAAAACAATTGCTTAAATAATATCACAAGACCTTTAGTATATCACTGTCTCATTGACTTTTGAACACTTTAATTTAACGCTGTATTAGCATGTAAACATATTACAGAACGTATGATACTTCATATATCAGTAGACACAAATATTATTAGAACCTTGAAATTGAGGCTTGCCACAGTTGGGATTATTGACTGTTTAGTTGTTCACTGCATTATTTCAAACAGCTGTGTCTGCAGCAACATTTATCCTGGGCAGAGTGCTCTGTGGCCGCACGGAGCGCTGTGATAATGAATACTAGCCGGATTAGAAATTAAGGCATAAAATGCTTCACTAATATCCAAATTGCCCCCAAGGACCCTTGAACCGGGGCAACATATTTCTCTGTTTATCCAGTTTGTGTTTAATTCACAGTAAATGTTGCATGAAAAAAAAAAAAGAGATCAAAGCACAAAAGAGAGCAGTGGCCTATTGATTAGCAAACAAAAGTGGTAAAAGACCAACTACTGAACCAACTATTGATTTAAAAAAAATAATAATAATAATACTTTTATTCACAAAGGACCCTTTAAATTAATCAAAAGTGACATTGAAGATATATTTTCAATATTCAAAAAGTGTGTGTAAAATTAAGTTTTATTTTATTCAAAGAATCCAGGGTTTCCCAAAAAAATTAATAAAATAAATAATAATAATAATTTAAAGCCCATGTAATGATGAAATGTTTCCGAGAATGGTTTCCAAAGAAACGATTATTATGTCTCCATCTACCTGGGAAAGAAAAAGATAAAACCACAAAGATACTCCAGAGATAAGCGTAAGTGGCATCTGTATGGATTACCGCATAAAGACTCTCAAAAGAAAATTGCCTAAACCAAGGACCTGTTGTTAGCATTATCAAGCTATTTAATGTTTGTTCCCATGGCGCTACGCTTGTTAGGAGCATGATTATCACCTTGCTTTGAACTGATTCACGTCAATAATCAACAGCATCACAATATGATTTCATTAGTGTGGAGTAAATGGTGTAATTTTCACATTTACACCAAGAGGAACAGAAGCTGTAATTGATTACGTAGGAAACTAATATTTGAGGTTAACACGATTAACACTGCTCCTCCCAATTAGATGGATGGAGAAGCATGACCTTTTATCAACAATAAAGCTATAAAATGAATCTTAATAGAAGATGAATTACTGCGGAAACTGAAAACACATTTAAAAACAGGAATAGCTTCTTCAGCTGCATGGCAATAAGAAGCCGTAAAAGAAAATTATCACAAAAATGGAATGAGAATGAGTCCTACAAATCATTTACTTATCATAAATATAAAGTTAATAACAAAGATTAATTAGTGCTTTGTGCAATATATCATAATGAAATTGCAACAAAGCTTGCAACAATTCTAGTATTTGCAGAATTGTTCTATTGTCAGACCACTTCTGTAGTAAAAAAAACACTCAGTTTGGGGCAGAGTGATATACATGATATTTGCAACAAAAAAAAAAAATCATGAAATATACATAATATTAGCAAAAAAAAAATTATAATGTTTTCTTTAAAAATGCTTCGACTTCACCAAATGTATATGTAAGTGAACTGGAAGCACACACCCAAACCTTTTCTGTACTAAACTGTTTAAGGTTGACAGTGAACATCAATTCCATGCAGTAATACTGAAATCAAAGCTTAGGCCGGAATTTAGTGGAATGCTTTTTAGATTCCATTGAATCAAAGTTGCGAGGCTTAAAAATATTGCCCGCTATGATTGCCCCAACTTCAGGAAAGTTGAATGTCTTTTTACTGCAATTACAGCTGTGCGAATGTTACATTTTCTGCCAAATTAGCTTCGAAGCGCTTGATCCTACGTACACTCCTAAAATGTGTCTTTTTAAAACTGCAGGCACTGTATTTAGGTATGAGCTCACTTCAAAGGTGTAAAGCTGGCACCTTGAAAATGTTTTAGCACTCAGGTTGAAAGCATTGTAGCCTTCATTAAAAGGCAGAACCGAAAGTTCTATAGACACTGCCTTACTTCAAACTGGGGGAGGGCTTTCCATTAACTTTAGTGTAAAAGGGTTGCAAGACTTTCTGCCCAAGTCGAATGATGTGTGTGTGTGTGTGTTTGTAGCCTCTGTGTCTTTGCAGGCAAAATGGCCACAGACCCATTAGCTCAATTTGTCACAGTTGAAGCGCCCCCCCCGAGATGGCTTATCTGGGCAACATACCTCTCGAGTAGCAAGTCTGTCACTCAGTTCTTCCGCCTTCCCACAGTCCCCTTCAGCAATGGCACTCTCTATGCTCTTTTCCAGGCCTGACTGAAGATGAG